TGTCATGATAGGACAGAATGTGAGAATGTAATAGTGTTTAATTTCATCAAATTGTTTTGTTAAAGCCTTTTGATGCATTTTATAAAACGGTTAGTTCCAGTCCTTGATTCACTACACATCACCGCTAGCAACCACTCTTAGCAACGCAAACGTGTTTGTTCTCATTGATATTGTTCGTTGAAGCTAGAGTAGAGTATTGTGAGAGATCGAGTAAGCGAGTGTACATTTACAGTAGCCTAGATATTGCATTTTTCTTCAGCATAGTCCTGTAGACCTTATTCGCCAGACACACTTTAGAATATTGTCTTTGAACTTCAGTTTTTGCGGTCGCTCTCTATATTTCTATGGCACCGCTGTCGAGGAGTAATTAGCTGTTGAAGTGGATTTATTTATTGTAGAGATTATGAGCATTGTAATGTTTTAAGCAGATGTCTTAATGTCAGTAGACCGGGAAGTCTTTAAAACGAGCCTTTCATTCATAACTACGTAAGATCGCTGTGAAAATACAGACCGGAAGACAATAGACAATGAGCGCAGCGCTGAATAGGGGTGGGGCTACACATGAACTCATTGATATTGGTCATTGAAGCTTGTAGAGTTGAGTATTGTGAGAGATCGAGTAAGTAAGTGTACCTGCATACAGTAGATTTAGCATTTTCCTTCAGGTCAGTCCTATATTCATAATAAAAATCTGTTTGAATGTCCGCTGCAATATCTTGTCTTTTTAACAGTTATGGGGTTTGCCGGTGATACGCTAGTCATCTGTCCGTTGCATCTTGCTTTTCCGTGTTCACAATTTTGAGTTATTTCAATATAAAAGTCTTCGCTTCTGACTGACTCACTCATAAACACACTCTTTGCCGCCATCTAACGGTGAAATAATGTATAACTTCTGTTGCTGTTTATGGTCAGGGACTATTTTTCCAGCAGAAGGAAGGCTGATTTTAATGATTTTACTTCATGAAAGTTGCATAGAGACATATTTTCGGCTTTAATATTTCATATTTGTATTGTGTGGTAACCGTTTTATAAAAGCAATAAGGTACTTAAGGCTAGTTCTGTATTGTGAATAAGTAATGATACAGCAAGCCTCTCGTACCCTATTGCTTACATAACACATTTATTCATTGTAATACTTTATTGTGAGACCGAATTGACTATTATCCCTCTTGTGATGGGTCAGTGTTGGATGCAAGGCATTATTGATTCAGCGGGATCACATGACCTGTGGAGGCTGAATGAGTGTGTATCACAGCATGAGACTGATGTGATGTTGACAGGGATTCTGGGTGAAGTGTAAATGCTTCACAACCAGCAGATTTTAAAGCTTATTATAACTTCTCTTTTAGAGTGAAGCTTCAAATAATTGTTAGAAGGGAAGTATTGACTGGTTTCAGCAGATGCAGCTGTGATTTGGTGGTTTCAGGAGACCTGAAAAATGAGTTGTTAATTGGTTGGATTTTTGGGTACTTGATAAAGGGACACAAAATGCCACAAATTTGGTCGATTTTGTTTGAAACATGGCATACAAATAAATGTTATTAATGATTTACATTACCCCTATTATGCTATTTTAAAGGTTCCTAATTTAGTATCCTACAATATGTTTAAATGCATTCAAAAACAATGTTCCTGTAGGAGCCATACACTGGGTTTTGTTTGGGCTTTTATTATGTTTTCTCTTTTTCTTACACTCTTGTGTACATGCACGCGCATGGTGACGTCATCGGTGACTGTGGGTGTTACCGGGGGTGCGATGTCTGTATTAATGTGAGTGTGCTCACCTGTGCGCAAGCTTGGGTTTGGATCATGGCTGCAGGGTGAGCATGGGGAGAAACTTTCTGTTGACCGTCACCACTGGCTTTACCACTGTTTTTCCCACCAATGTTATCATCACTAACATCCGTTACTGATGTCTCTGAAGTACCTTTGCACTGCTTACAACATGCATCGCTGAAAGTAAGTGATTGGTTGTTTATGTTTGTGAAATAGCGTAATAAAGAGACTCAATACATACAAAGGTTCAGCGTGACGCGTCTTCAGTGTGAATCCTCATGTTTCAGCCTGCTGTGGCGTTTTAGTTGTTTGGTTGGTTTCATTTGAGTAATATACGCCACAATAGTTCCCATAATATACATTGCAGCATCACCTCTTTTCTCACAGTGTCTGAATCAGTTCATAAAGGATTGCTGTGCTCTGATTGGTCAGATGACCCAGTCCGTTGTGATTGGTCTACTCTGCTCTGATTGGTCAGATGACCCAGTCTGTTGTGATTGGTCTACTCTGCTCTGATTGGTCAGATGGCCCAGTCTGTTGTGATTGGTCTACTCTGCTCTGATTGGTCAGATGACCCAGTCTGTTATGATTGGTCTACTCTGCTCTGATTGGTCAGATGACCCAGTCTGTTGTAATTGGTCTGCTCTGCTCTGATTGGTCAGATGACCCAGTCTGATGTGATTGGTCTACTCTGCTCTGATTGGTCAGATGACCCAGTCCGTTGTGATTGGTCTACTCTGCTCTGATTGGTCAGATGGCCCAGTCTGTTGTGATTGGTCTACTCTGCTCTGATTGGTCAGATGACCCAGTCTGTTATGATTGGTCTACTCTGCTCTGATTGGTCAGATGACCCAGTCTGTTGTAATTGGTCTGCTCTGCTCTGATTGGTCAGATGACCCAGTCTGATGTGATTGGTCTACTCTGCTCTGATTGGTCAGATGACCCAGTCCGTTGTGATTGGTCTACTCTGCTCTGATTGGTCAGATGACCCAGTCTGTTGTGATTGGTCTACTCTGCTCTGATTGGTCAGACGGCCCAGTCTGTTGTGATTGGTCTACCCTGCTCTGATTGGTCAGATGGTCCAGTCTGTTGTGATTGGTCTACTCTGCTCTGATTGGTCAGACGACCCAGTCTGTTGTGATTGGTCTACTCTGCTCTGATTGGTCAGATGACCCAGTCCGTTGTGATTGGTCTACTCTGCTCTGATTGGTCAGACGGCCCAGTCTGTTGTGATTGGTCTACTCTGCTCTGATTGGTCAGATGACCCAGTCTGTTGTGATTGGTCTACTCTGCTCTGATTGGTCAGATGACCCAGTCTGTTGTGATTGGTCTACTCTGCTCTGATTGGTCAGACGGCCCAGTCTGTTGTGATTGGTTTACTCTGCTCTGATTGGTCAGATGGTCTAGGCTGTTGTGATTGGTCTACTCTGCTCTGATTGGTCAGACGGCCCAGTCTGTTGTGATTGGTCTACTCTGCTCTGATTGGTCAGATGACCCAGTCTGTTGTGATTGGTCTACTCTGCTCTGATTGGTCAGACGGCCCAGTCTGTTGTGATTGGTCTACTCTGCTCTGATTGGTCAGACGACCCAGTCTGTTGTGATTGGTCTACTCTGCTCTGATTGGTCAGATGACCCAGTCTGTTGTGATTGGTCTACTCTGCTCTGATTGGTCAGATGGCCCAGTCTGTTGTTATTGGTCTACTCTGCTCTGATAGGTCAAATGACCCAGTCCGTTGTGATTGGTCTACTCTGCTCTGATTGGTCAGATGGCCCAGTCCGTTGTGATTGGTCTACTCTGTTGTGATTGGTCAGACGGTCCAGTCTGTTTGGTATCTACTCTGTTGTTATTGGTCAGACTGTTGTGATTGGTCAGATGGCTCATTGTGTTGTAATTAGTCAGCTTTTTACAGCATGTTTCAGAAACCAAATGCTCCTTATCATATCTAAATTACAATTCTGGATCTTCCTCAGCACTTGATACACAGTAATATGGACAGTAAATATGGCGTACATTTTTCAGAGTAAACCCCAGCGAGTCTTCAGTCTTTGGCAGGCAGTGCATCAAAGTGGATTTGCTTTGAATTTTCAGCTCAGAAAACAAACATGTGGACAACACGGCCAGCTCTTACTGTGTTTGAGGGTGGGTGAGGACCATTTGTTTCATGCAGGAAGTTACTGACTACTAATTTCAGGCAGTTCAGAATCAGTTCAGTTCAGAGACAAGACAACTGTCTTTATCTGTACTTTGATCTTTGAAACTTTGCAGATCTTTTACTTTCAGAAACATCTATATTACACTCTACGTGAAAGGTAATATCCAAAAAAGCTTTATGGGGCACTTTAATTGTTTCCTTTGTACATATTTAACTTGCTGTTTAAGATTGATACACATAAATATGCGTATCTAAAATTGTTCATTTGTTGCATTTCATGTTTAGATCATTTTTATAATAAACAAAACTTTTTCTAGTTATGTTGAGCTCTAAAATGTTTTATCTGTAGAAATTGTTATTTGTGAGTAATATATAAACCTGTAAATCACAAATGACTAGAAAAGTCCTGGAAATTTATTGGTAATTAAACAAGAAAATTCAGCTATTGAAACTTCTATTGAAAATGATGATTTTTGTAATTATTTAAAATTATTTTAATATACTGCCACTCCTAGTTTCTGTAAAGAACATGAGCACCTTTGTCATTAAAGCAGAAGTACCAGAAATATAGTAGTACTGGCTGAAGGAGAGAAGTGCTATTTTAGCATCAGTGATAGACTATTATAGTTTTGATTAATATTTTAAATTAGATTAGATTTTTCTGTTTTCACTTTCATTTTAGTTTTAAGTTTTAGTGTTGTATTCTTATTTATAAGTTTTAGTTAGTTTATTTATTCATTTTAAGTGAACCTAAATACACATTTGAAATGTTGCCAAGCTGAAAAAGCCAAGTTTTTAAAAATATTTTATTTCAGTTAATGTTTATTTCAGGTATTGAAAAAGTTTATTGGAAAGGTTTTAGTTTTAGTTAAAAGTAATTGAGAATTACACTCTTTTCTTGATTGTATAAATTGGTGATTGCAATTGTATGCTTTTCTGGCAATTAATACTGACTGTCACAATATGTGCTGCATTTCTATAAGAGTTTGTCAGTGTGTTTCATTGTAATGTGCACGGTAAATAATCCTCATGTCATCCTCAAACCCTCATCTATACCCTTTTTCCTTCAAGGCCTCCTGACCTCTATCAGAGCATGTCCACCATGGTTTACCCCCATGAGGAGCGACTCGAGAAGCTGACGCAGGAGGAGATCATCTCCAGCACTAAACTGGTGATTCAGGGCCTGGAAGCTCTCAAGAGCGAGCACAACTCCATCCTGCATAGTCTGCTGGAGACCATCCAGTGCTTAAAGAAAGATGAGGAGGCCAGTTCAGTTCACGAAAAGTCCAACCTTCTGCGCAAGTCAGTGGAGATGATTGAGCTGGGCCTGGGTGAAGCACAGGTGAGGGACTGCTCCGTTATGGGGTCCTCGGGGGGAATGGGTATACTACTGAATTTAGCGTCAAGGCCAATTTATACTTCTGCGTCGAGGGTACACCGTAGTGTACGGTGTAGGTTACGCATGTAGGCGACGCCGTCGTGAGCATTTATACTTCTGCGTTCAGGTCTTGGTTCCTCTGCAGTACTGCTCCGAAACGCTAGTTGGCGGCGGAGGGTTTTAATGTTCCACTGTGTTTAGATTCCTCACGGCTAGGTTACTACAAGCAATGGCGACTGAAAGAGAGCGGATCATGTTGGAGTTGGAGCTTATTGACATGGAAAAACAGTTCATTTTAGTGAAATTACTAAAACTAAAAGGCAGAAACGAGAGAAGGACGAGAGGGTACGTGCGGAAATGCGTAGGAGGAAACGCGATGCTAGCAAGCCGACCAATCACAGATCTTGCGGTCCGCGTCGTCGCGGCGTGTAGTTACATTTTTGAGGAGGTGCGCGTCAGGCTACGGCGAAGGGTACGCGGTATGGTACGCGTCTGTGCGTATGCTACGCCGTACCTTCTGCACACACCCTACGCAGAAGTATAAATTGGCCTTAACAACTTAGGGGCCAGACTTATTAAACAGGGCAAATTAGCACAAGACAGTATTCCCATAAATGCTTACTAAGGAATCAAATATAATATGTATTTTCTTCAGATTTTCTCGGCAGTGTGCTTTTAAAGGTAAAGTGCTAAGGCCTGTTCACACCGGGACGAATTTTGTGCATGTTATTCACCGACGTTTAACGCCTCCTGCAGACTGATCTCATGAAGTAGCGTGTGTATGACACGCCAATTCGTATTTCCATTTTTGGCGTGCTATCAAGACGCATAATCGCCTTTCAGCGTGTTTATGAACGCCGTTGACACAACGTTATATAAATATATGACTTACCTCAACCCCGTCCCTAAACCTAACCGTCACTGGGGTTAATGGCATTTATGACTGGAGATTTGACTGTACAGACACGCGGAATGACGCGGACGTTAATGGCGTAGACATACACGCATACACGCGGATACACGCGGATAGCTCAAAATGCGTAGAGATAACACGCCACCTGACTCGAAAGTGGCGGATATGTTTACGCAAAAGTCATGATGTCATGTTGCCTCCTGACTAAACAGAGAGCGCCAATGTGAGTGTTCACACTGACGCGTAAAACGCCACGCGTAAAAGCGTCATTTTTTTTTTTAAACGCCTCGGGTTCGTTTTTTTAGTTTGACGCGCCGCGTCAAAAACTATCCGACCAATGAGATTGCCGCTTTTGCTCATGTGTTTGGAGCTTCTGAAGTTACAGTAAAACACAACTTAGGGCGCTCAACACAAAACGGTCTTGCCGAGCACACATACGTAACGGCGAAGAAGATCTACGCCAAGTAGCGTAAGACGGGGAAGACGAGGAAGATGCAAGGCAAGATGAATGTAGAGCTGCTGGTCTCGTTGGTGTTAGAACATAAAGAACTATATGACAAACACGACAGCGACTACAAACATCTTGATAAAAGAAAACTGAAATCTGAAAACGGCGCCATCTAATGTCAGGGAATGAATTTGCATGTTCACTCGGCTCATCGTCAGCGAAAATCGATTGGGTGTGAACACAAAAAACGCGTTGAAAAGCGCTGGCGAATAACGCGTGCTGATATTCGTCCCGGTGTGTACGGGCCTTTACAGTAAGTGTTGTTATAATGTGTTCAGGTGATGATGGCCCTGTCCAGCCATCTGAATGCCGTGGAGTCAGAGAAACAGAAATTGCGCGCTCAGGTGCGACGGCTCTGTCAGGAGAACCAGTGGCTGAGGGACGAGCTGGCGAACACTCAGCAGAAACTGCAGAAGAGTGAACAGAGTGTCGCACAGCTGGAGGAGGAGAAGAAACATCTGGAGTTCATGAACCAGCTCAAGAAATATGACGATGGCACCTCGCCAGAGGTGAGTCTTGCTGTAGGTGATGAACAGCAGACTGGAACAAGAAAAACTGACCAGTACTGTCATGTTCATGATCTAGGCAGGTGGAGCTGGGGAGGGGGAGGGGTTCAGAGCACAGCAGAGGCCAATCAGCTTGTGTCATGTGATGATGATGCGATTGCTTGCAGATTGCATGTAAAGGACCATCAGCCGGCGCCCTCTAGAGTTTCATGAAATTGTGTCAGTATTTACTCACCCTCATGTTGTTCCAAACCTCTATGTGTTTATTTGTTCTGCTGAACACAGGAAGATATTTGGAAGAATGTTTTAATCAAACAGATCTCATTCCCCATTGACTTCCATTGTATGTATTTTTTTCCTACTAGTCAATGGGGAATGAGATCTGTTTGATTAAAACATTCTTCCAAATATCTTTCTTTGTGTTCAGCAGAACAAATAAACACATAGAGGTTTGGAACAACAATTTGGAGGGTGAGTAAATACTGACAGAATTTTCATTTTTGGGTGAACTAACCCTTCAAGACATGTATCTCTTGTTTATTTTTATACATTTATAGGTCATTTACCAAATTAAAAACTAAATTACAACATTTTCTGCGCAAGAAACCATGACTAACATTATAAATGCACTTATAAGTGGAAAAAAGAAGACGTTTTCTGTCTTAAATCTGACGAGCAGAGTCCTCTTCCTGTATGTGGAGCCAGCATTAATGTATTTGCCCCGTAGATCGATGGCTCTGTTTTGCTGGATGGAGATGTTACGAAGGAGACGTGCCTCATCGTTACTGTGTGATGATGAATAACTAAATTGTATTTTCTGGCAAACAGGACGTCCTCCCCTTCACTTCAGACTAGTGTTTTTCATTTGTCTCTGTCTGCTGTGGGAGGATTTGAAGACATTATTATAAGACATTATCTGTTCAAATGACAGTTGCCTCAAGCTTGTCATTTATATTTCATGAAACGACGTCTCATGCTGTTACTTCCAGAATTAATGGAGCCATTAACATTTAGAGACTATAAAGACAGTCATGCATGGTCAGAGATGCAATTGACTATAGAAATTCACAATGAAATTTACATTATAAGACAGCACAGACTGATTAAAAATAATAATTATGACAAATTGAATATTTAAATGGTTTAAATCTGATTTATTTTTCTTTGGTTTTGTTTTAGGAAGAGAAAAATAGTGAGGCTCCCAAAGATGCCCTGGACGATTTGTTTCCCAATGATGAAGATTACCAGGGTAAGGAAGTACAAAAATGACATGGCAGTCCTTGTTTTTTATGAATATAATTTGAGAGATATTATTGGTCACAGGGTTTACTTTGGCTATTTCCACTGTCAACCCAAATCTGATTGGAAATTGATCTAAATTGTTGACCGTCCACGCTGGATATGAATTGTGTGTCCCGTGGCGCTCTTTCATTTTACGGGTCGGGATATCTGCTTTGCTTTCTATGGAAATGACGAGGCGTTAGTAGGTATACGCCAAAAACAACAACAGTTAATATAGTTAACATGAGATTAATGCACATCAGGTATTAATTAGGGGGTGTAACAATATATCGTGACACAATACTGTATATCGCAATACAAAAATGCACACAAATATACAAATATGTATTGTGGATACTATAGTTTCCCCTAGTTTTCATAGTTTTAGTGTCAGTACTACTTTAAACGCCTATATAATGTTTAATATAATGTATAAAAATGCAATGGGGGGATATTTGTGGGTCCTGATAATGCCAAATGATTGGAAATCTGCTCTAACCAGCAGACCAATCGCATCGCAGCATCTCAAATGTCGGTTTGGTGGTTTTGAATCGTCTGAGTGCTTTAAAACTCAATTTACAATGTACGTTAAAAAAGCCACATATTCTTCCCCGATTGCCGCAACAATTATTAGCGATATTTTGCGCAAATTTCACAGGATGTGACGTTTTTGTTCTCTTAAACACATGGGAAGGAAACAGTGCTTTATAACAAGTGTTTTATGCGCTATTTAAGTTTAATCCCACCTCTGTATGGAAACTCAGCCATTGTGTGTCTCTTCAGTCTCCCATCAGCACAACAGCGCCGCGGTGGCGGCCGCGCAGCAGGGCGGGTACGAGATCCCGGCCCGCCTCAGGACCCTCCATAACCTGGTGATCCAGTACGCCGCCCAGGGCCGCTACGAGGTGGCCGTGCCTCTCTGCAAACAGGCTCTGGAGGACCTGGAGAAAACCTCTGGACACGACCATCCCGATGTGGCCACCATGCTCAACATCCTGGCTCTGGTCTACAGGTGTGTGTGTGTTTGCTCATGCCCAGGCCCAAGTTGAACCAGATTTCAGTCCTTGGTTATTCACCCTCGTGTCATTCCAAACCTGCATGTTCTTAGTTACATACAGGAATCAAAAGCTATATTTGATGCTTTTTGAAATTTTCCCTGAACAAATTGACTTAAATTACTTCAAAAAGCTTGTAATTTAGTCATATGTACAACTGTTATGACACTTTTAAGACCCCGATATATATATTTCAAGCAAAATCGAAGAACAATTTAATTTCTACCAAAATCAGGCCGAAACGAATTTTATTTGGAGTTTGTTTAGGAACAGTTTGACAGAAATAAGTCTGTTTATGTGATTTCATATTTGATTACTAAATTAGGTTTCTTTTCAGACAGAAACAATTACCTGAAAAGATATGTTAATACACCTTCCTGAAATTAAAGCACTTTGTATATAATTTGTATCTTTGATTAATTGTATTCTTGTGTTTTTTTTCTTATATGTCCTTTTTGTATATAAAACAAAAAAAGCCTGCACATTGCTGCATAACAAAAAGATATTTTTCTTCGTTTTGCTTTTTCTATTTTACATTTCAAAATATAGAGTTTAATTATGTTGTAATTAAAAAAAAAAAAAACACACCAAAAAGAACCGATAAGAATACCGTTAAAGTACCGGATCGATAAGCGGTATCGGTAAGAGTAGAAATACCGATAAAACCTTAACGATACCCATCCCTAAACATAGCTATATTTGATGCTTTTTGATATTTTCCCTCAACAAATTGACTTAAATTACTTCAAAAAGCTTGTAATTTAGTGCACAAGTCATATGAACATCTGTTATGACACTTTTAAGACCCCGATATATATTTCAAGCAAAATCAAAGAACAATTTAATTTCTACCAAAATCAGGCCCAAGCGAATTTTATTTGGAGCTTGTTTAGGAACAGTTTGACAGAAATTAGTCTGTTTATGTGTTTTCATTCTATACATTTAAATTATTTCAGATTTGTTTATTTTGGAAATTCCTGATTATTTTTGCAATCAGGAAATTCTACAATTCATGGAAAACGAATTCTCTATTACTTCATGTGGAAACATGGTTAATCAAAAGAACTTTATTGTATTTCTTTTCATTCAGGGACCAGAATAAATACAAGGAAGCGGCCCATCTCCTGAATGATGCCTTGTCAATCAGAGAGAAGACCCTGGGCAATGACCACCCAGCTGTGAGTAACTCAAAACATGAATCTGAAGTGTGCATGCTCACATTTAGTCTAGATCTACAAAAACATCGTGTTCACACACTCACGATTCCTCTCAACACGAGGACTGGAGAGCTATAATAAAGTAACTTCCATTACTTATTTGAAAAAGTAACTCAGATGTTTTGTTGTAAACTGGAAAGTAATGTGTTACTTTACTAGCTACTTGAAAAAGTAATCTGATTACATAACTTGGATTACTTGTATCAACCCGCAACAATGACTCCTCATGCAGGGATGTATATTAGTGCTTGTGGTTATTTAGTATACTTGCTATTGAATATCCTTCAAAGATTCAGTGCACTAACAGGGCATTTCCTCAGGAGTTTAGCTAAGGTTGTGGCAATTCAAAGTTATCAATGTTCTCAAAGAACACAAAAACATTATGTATACCTTGGAAAAAATGTTAACCTACTTTACTTGTTTCGGCAAACATTTAAAAGTAGCTATTGTTCCCATAATGTTTGCAAAATAAATTAAAATGTTCCCTAAATGTTGTCATGACCAAGAGTAATAGAGCATTCAGAGAACATTCAAAAATAACATTTTAATATCTCACTGGGAATGTTAGCAAAACGTTCTTGGCCAGCTGGGTAATCCGTGTGTGTGTTTGGTGGCTAATCCAGGTGGCGGCCACCCTCAACAACCTGGCGGTCTTGTATGGGAAGAGAGGAAAATACAAGGAAGCAGAACCGCTGTGCAAGAGAGCCTTGGAGATCAGAGAGAAGGTACTATCACAAATGCTTGCAATTGATTTTTGTTATGATATTTAAATAAACATTCTCTAACTTGTTAGTCATGTTGTAAAGGCTCACAGCGAGTAAACACAATAAAAATGCCAGCGGTGAGTTTAGACGGAGGATATATGTGAACGAGCACTGCACACTTCATTCATACAGCACTTTACAACCGTAAACTCTACTTGCTTGCGACGCCAAGGTCATGGGTTCGATTCCCAGGGAAAGCAAGAACTGATGAAAATGTGTAAAAATGTGTACCTTGAAATGCAATGCAAGTCGCTTGGGATAAAATGCACAAATGTAAAATCTGACCTCGAGTGACTAAACTGAACCAGAGACGATTTCCGTATCAAAGAAGGCGGAGCCACGCCCACCTATCACATCATCGCCACTGACCAATGGGAGTCTGAAGGTGTTTACCAGCCAGAGCAAACTTTTCTGTTTCGAACTCCAAGCAAATTTGATTTTGTTCGAAATAACAACAGTTCGATCTTTGGTTTCGCTTGAAGTATATTCAGTCCTTTCTGAAAAACGCAGAATTTTTTTGTGATTGTTGCGGGCAAAAATCCTTGATTATCCGGCCCGTTTTCTTTAAAAATGTGGGATATTTATGCAATGAAATTCCGGGAAATTGCAAAAACTACGGTTTGATGAAAAAGACAAAAAAAAGTGATTCCCCCACAATCTTAATGTAAAGAGTCATGTCTTATTACCTCCTAAGCATAACTACATCACAGAAAGTGCTGGAATCTTTCAGTTCTTATCTTGTTTTATTTACTACCCTAGTAAACACTGATGAGGCAAACAAGTTCTGTAGCTTTACAAAAGGAATATGCTACAACTTCTGTAAAAAATGAATACATTAAATATAAAAAAAAGAAAGTGTGCTCCTGTTTTACAGCTTTTCGCCGAGGTTCACGTCGCGGAATTATGTCACTTCATATCGTTCCCATGGCAACAGGGGGAAACGGCTGCTCTCGTGTGAAGCAAACGCGACATTTGCGTTTCGTAACTTTCTGCTAATATATATGTGACTTTTTTGCAATGAAAGTGCAAGTATTATGCATGCCCCGCAAATTTTGCACGGAAATCGGAAATTTGTGTGGCGAAAGTGCAACGTATTTGAAAAAAGGCCCCCGCTTAATTATGCGGACTTTTGCTGATTATGCACTGAATCATGCGATTGCATAGTCAAGTTTTTCTGGAGGCACTGTATATTGGGGCTTTAAAGGGGTCATGAACTGGCTTTTTAAATGTTATTATATTGTTGTCTGAGGTCGACTTACGACGTTCGCTTGGTTTTTGCATTCAAAAACATCAAAATGAATAAGTAATCGGCTATTTTGTAGTTAGTTTTGAGCCTAGCTGAAAAAGGTTTTTATGGGCGTCTCGCACTGAAGACTTGGAAGTAAACGCCCACTGCTGTGAGTGGATAACAGTTTTGCATATTATAATGAGTTTCGACTCACCCGTCGGTCCACTTTGGGGAAATTGTTTTGAAGACGTCCAATGTTGTAAAATGGCGACCTGAATGATTCGCCCGTACATGTTCGACCTGAGTCCGTGTGTTGCACCATACCTGTCAGATCCAAGACGGCACGGCACCGTTCTTTACTCTTAATCGGTCTGCAAATCCAGTCTTGTTTACAAAACAATCCTCAGTGAAATGAAGCGAACAGACGGACGATGTTTTACCTCATCAGCTGGAACGTCATTAAAAATAAAGTTTATCCGGTTTGTCATCAGGAGGTAAGACTATGTTATTTAGCTACGCGTGTAATGCGCGAATCGGTGGGCGGGGCTAAACCGGCCGTGTTGAAGTAGGCGTTGATCTTCTTCCGCGGGGGTGGTGTTTTATCTTCTTTGACGTCATAGTTCCCCACTTTGAAAAACGAGTCGTTTGCTGAGGCTGGTGTCAATAAAAGCTTTTATTGAACTAACAAGGACGTTTTCAGTTCTGAAACTTACAGGTTATTCTTATAATATGATGACCTCTTAGATGTCAAAAAGCTCAAGGAAAATTTGATTTCTCAGTTCATCACCCCTTTAAATTATGTCACTCTTCCGTTGCCCAGGTGTTGGGACGGGACCACCCGGATGTGGCCAAGCAGCTGAATAACCTGGCCCTGCTCTGCCAGAATCAGGGGAAGTATGAGGAGGTGGAGTATTATTACTGCAGGGCTCTCGACATCTACGAGAAAAGACTCGGACCCGATGACCCAAATGTTGCCAAGACCAAAAACAACCTGGTGAATATAATCAGCACTCAGTCCAAACGGCACAATAAAACAGCCTCATTCGTTGTTCAGAGATCTGTTTGCAGTGTAAAACATTAACAAAGAGAGAAAAAGAAGACACACACACTACACTGTATGATATGCCTATACACTGCTGTTTAAAAGTTTGGGAGATTCTTCAAACATCCTACATTCTACAGTGCATGCCATAGTTGTTAAGCAGTGTTGTGTTCCCCCCGCAGGCTTCATGCTATCTGAAACAGGGCAAGTACAAGGAAGCTGAGATTCTCTACAAAGAGATCCTGACGCGCGCCCATGAGAAAGAGTTTGGATCTGTAGATGGTACGATCATTGCTTGACCATGGCACTTCATTATTCACTAGCTGACAGACTGCATGCTTTCTTACTAAAGTCTGGCAACATTATAAACCTGAACTATTGTCATTGCTGAATGATAGAAAATGATGACCTCAGCATATCGTGACCCTTCTGCACACCTGACCTGTGGATTTCACAAGCACAACCAATCAAAACTTTTTTAGTAGCATGAACATAGGGTTAATTCACACTTTTTACTGGAGACATCAGGGTTTGGGGCGGGAGTGTTATGAATATTTGCAATATATTTTTTTCAGTGAAGATGAAATGTCTTTCAAATATAAACGCTATATTAGTGAAACTGCTTGGCTGTGCCAATGTGAATGTTTAAAAAATAAACGTGAAAGCAGAAGTGCGAAGAACTTTAGTGTACGAGCAACTCAACAGATGGTTTGTATGTGTGATTTCCCTCTCGTTTTCTTCTTGGAAGATTTTAAGTTTTTAAACAGCCATTCGTTCTATCGCTTTCTTTTCTTTTCAAAATATCATCCATTTATTGTCTTTTTTATTTTATGTTTTTTTTTATGTAAAAGATTCATTATCTTTTCAGAACAAGGCCAATTTGCCTGCTGTTTGTTTTTTAATCATTTTTATGTTGATTTTGCTCTTCATTCCAATAAATCAACTTGATTATTTTCTTGATTTCTGTACATCTTCTGTTTCACATGTTTCCAGCTAACAGGGAACAGTTTCAGAACTAGCTAATGTTAGCTAACACAAAACATTACTTATGTAATATTGTTCATGGAGCTATTTTCTGAAACATTTATTAGGATATTCAGCAAACATTCAGAAGTAATGTTCCCATAATGTTTGAAGAATGATCAAATGAAACGTTCCCTTAACAGTCGCATAACCAAGAACTTCTTTAAAACATTTACGTTGAGAACATTCAGGGAATTTTCAGTAATAACGCTTTTGTACCTTAATGGGAACGCTAGGAAAACGTTCTTACAATATAATGTTGTTAGCTGGGTTCATGCTAAATTTATTTTTGTGAACTTGACATTTTTAGTACATGTTCATGTACATGACAGAACTTATTGTACTGCAGTTATCGTTAGAACCCATGCGGGTCGTGATCTGAACAAGTATTAAACTTAAAGGAGTAGTTCACTTTTAAAAAAACTTTTGCTGATAATTTACTCACCCCCATGTAATCAAGACGTCCATGTCTTTCTTTCTTCTGTCGAAAAGAAATTAATGTTTTTGATGAAAACATTCCAGGATTTTTCTCCATATAATGGACTTCAATGGGAACCAAACGGTTCAAGGTCCAAAAGACAGTTTCAGTGCAAACTGTTCAAAGGGTTTTAAACGATTCCAGACGAAAATAAAAGTGAACTACTCCTTTAACTATGAAACTCTTACGTTTGTAACCTAAATCGAAAATTGAACAAGGATTGAATGAGTGCAATCCTTGAATCATAGCACAGCAATACCCTGGCAATTTTTGCAAAATCTATGATGATTTCACAGTAGTAACAATAAAAAATAGTAACTACATTATTTGGCAGAAACTGTTTCAGATTTTTCCATGGTATGTTTGGTAATGGCCAACTACAGTAGCAGAACACTCTATGTTTCTCTGTGTCTACAGCTGAAAATAAACCCATCTGGATGCACGCTGAGGAACGAGAAGAAAGCAAAGTAGGTTTGTGTGTGTGTGTGTGTGAGATACTGATATGCTTATGTGGTCGGCTGATATAGTGGGTATAGAAAGTCACCACACAAAATATTCACCTTCTGTTGCAGCGTGAACTGAAAGGTAATGTAACCATGATTCCCATGGTTACATTTTCTCCAATGTTTACAATAATATAAATGCACCGTCTTGTTTAATCTTAAAGTTTTGGTGGTCAGATTCAGACTCAATGAAGAGTAGAGAGCACAGATATGATCAAGCTCAACAAGCAATCGTTATTATAGTTCAAAAGGGCAAACAGTTAAAGTTATTATGCGAGTTAACTCGAGTCAGAATGTACATGTGCAAGGTTGCATTTGTCATCCATCACCGTGACATCAAGTGGACTTTTAAAGCTGAAATAATGAGTGGATTAAGCTTGGAATAACGAGAGAAATAACATGGATAGAACTTTCTTGTCGGTGAATTGTGCATCAGTCAGTCAGGTAACGTTAACGTAACAAGGAAGTGAGACGACGGCTACTAAAATTAGGTAAGACGAAAAGTTTTATTTTTCGCAACTCGTGTTAAATAATATGTGACAATCGGGTCCAGTCGGGTTTGTGTCATCCTGCCGGGTTCGGGTCCAGTTTTCAAATATTAGACGGGTCCAGGTCGGGTCCGGGCAGTACATTTATGTCATTTCTCGGGTCTGCACGGGTCCGGGTCCAACTTTTGAAATGAACGACGGGTCCGGGTCAGTTCGGTGTAGCACATTACGGGTCTCTTTCGGGTCGGGCATGATTTTTTGGACCCGTGAAGACCTCTAGTCTGAAGCATGAGTCTAAACACAATAATGAACTTGACATTAGCAGGCGGCAGCCGGTGACGTGACTACTTGTAAAACTGTATAAAAAGCTTACATGTGAAAGACGTCCTCCACTTTTTGTCTGAAGGAGACGTGCGCAAGAGTACCTGAAGCATGGCAAAGCGAGAGGAGGCCTAACCATCCCCTAAGTACAACAGCTATCAAGAAGCCCTGAAGAGCCTAGCAACTTGATCTAGCTGGCCAGGCGAAGCTCTGCAGAGTGGAGGCCTAAAATCACTCTTATAAGGAGAGGAGGCCTAAAACACACTGCTTTAAGAGAGTGACCAAAGAGCCAACAACATGCCATGTTACCTGCTGGAGCTCTAGGCACTGCATCCTATGCCTATAATCATAGCAGGTGGAGCTCAGGGGAGCCAAATAGTGCTCCATTTCCAAGCAGTAACCATGGAGGCACATAGAGAACCTAACAATTTGGTCCCTAGCTGACTTGGAGGAGGACGAAGGCCTCAGCACTGCATCCCAAACCACCTAGGGCAGGGGTAGGCAAGTTCGGTCCTAGAGAGCCGCTGTCCTGCAGAAGTTAGTTCCAACCCTAATCAAACACACCTGAGCAAGCTAATCAATGTCTTCAGGATTACTAAGGCTATAGGCAGGAGAGTTTTTTTCAGTGTTGGAGCCAAACTCTGCAGGACAGCGGCTCTCTAGGACCAAACTTGCCTACCCCTGACCTAGGGGCACCAAGGAGGCTCGGGCAGAGAGCCAGCAGCTCAGTGCTACGGCATAACTGAGCTCTACAAACTGAGGCCTAAGCAAGACATCTCTCTGAAATGACAGGAGGCCTAACAAGAATTGTTATGCAAGCAGAGCTCTGGAAGAGCAGAGACCCAGGAGACATTCTTTAGAGAGAAGGCCTAGCAATGCTCTAAATAAAAGTAGAAGCCAATGAGGACCAAAGGGAGCCTAACAAATCAGCAATACTACCCAATCAAGCTCTGAGGACAGAAGCCTCAACTGAAGTTCTCAAACAAGTGGAGGCCTGACACATCCTATGCTAAGAATAGCTACCAAGGAGCCGCACAGAGTGCCTAACATCTTGGTACTGCTGCCCCAGGCGGAGCTCTGGGGAGTGGAGGCCTCGGCACAAATCGCTCTGAGTGAGAGGAAGCCTAACTACACTCCTCTATAGAGGCAATAGGCAAGGCGGTTCAAAGAAAGCCTAGCAACTTGGCAGTACTGCCTGGTCAAGCTATAGTGGTGGAGACTCTAGAGACTCTCAAATGAGAGGAGGCCAAACAACGCCCAACACTCAGGACAGCTTCCAAGGCTCACAGAGAGCCTACATTGAAATGCTATCCTAGCGGAGCTCACGGCTCAGTTTAACGAATCTTCCTAACACAAACAGTTGCCAAGGAGGCTCACAAAGAGCCTGACAACTCAACGCTATTGCCTGATCGAGCTCAGAGGACGGAGGCCTCAACACGACAACTCTCAAAAGTCAGAGGAGGCCTAACTACATCCAACACTTAGGATAACTTACCAACGAGGCTCACAGAGAGCCTAACTACTTGATATTGCTATCCAGGTGGAGCTCTGAAGACTGGAGACCTCTACAAAACAACTCTCTATACTGAGAGGAGGCCTAACAATGCTCCATAGTACAGGCAGTAACTGAGGAGGCTCAGAGAGGGAGCCTAACAGCTCAGTAAACCGCTTGGTCAAGCTCTGAGGACGGAGGCCTCAACATGATAACTCTCAAAAGTCAGAGGAGGCCTAACTACATCCAACACCCAGGACAGCTTAACAAGGAGGCTACCAACAAGTCTAAACACTTGATATTGCTATCCAGGTGGAGCTCTGAGGAGTGGAGACCTCTACAAAGCGACTCTCTAAAATGAGAGGAGGCCCAACAACGCTATAGTACAGGCGGTAACCGAGGAGGCTCAGAGAGGGAGCCTAACAGCTCAGTAAACCGCCAGACAACATATTCACAACCTCCCACATGTGCCGAATCATCAGTAAGGTCAGTGAACACACTGCCAAAAACATCATCGGTCCAGCTTCAGGGGTCTGGTGTAAACACGTGTCAGAGCCTCAGAGACCTCAGTCAGAAGGTGTAAAGGGGAAGAGGGAGAAGGAACGCTCTGGGACCCTGGAGCACTCGGTGTGTTTACTCTGGATCCCTTCCATGAGATCTTTACTTCTCTTTTCGCCGTCATGCCTCCTCCGTGCTCTACCACCCAAGCTTCTGATCTTGTCTGCAGTCCTCGAACCAAAGTCAGACCCCATAGAGGCTTGGGCCGCAGACCTGGACCTGCACGATATGAAGGTCTTAAAAGCTGTGGAGTGTGCCTTCGCCTCCCTAAACTTCCCGACCACCGCCTGTACCCGACAACAGCTGTACCAACATGTTTGGAAGGCAAAACCGGTGCATCAAGGAAGATGTTTTTCTCTTTCTCCCCAATGTCTTCCAAAGATGTATCTCTGTAGCCACCGTGGCTCAACCGATCACGTTGTTTAATGGCTTGGAGCGCCAAATATGGCTCAGCTCCTCTACCGCTTCAGGGTGACACAAGTCAAGGTCATTGTCGTGTTTACACTCATGCTTCATACACCGGTCATGCCGGAGACATTACCCAATGGCGCCCCCTAGCAAGAGTTCCCATTCGAAAGGGAACACATGATTCTAGATTTACACTAACTTTACACACAGTGACACACAATAGCCACAAAAAAGTCATTCCACAGATTTAGATCAGGCAAGGCTTGGGCTTTTCAAAGTGGGGTCCACAAAGAAGTGCTTGGTGGTCCATGGAAATGTTTAGGGGAAAAAAATTAAAAATTAAATAAATAATGCGATTTTGATTTACATACATCTGCTGGGTCACTGGGTGTTCGGCCACATTGGTATTGTAACGCTGCAGGTTCTCCTCAGTCTGGTACAATTTTGCATTGCCCTTCCCGACAAGTGCTCTGAAAGAAACACCCTCACAACAGGACGCTGCCATTATATGGTGTTCTTTGGCTGGGAAGATGTATTGGAGTTGTGCCAGATATATTGTATAGACTTCTTAAAGGGGAAAAATGTTTTAATGGTCTTTTCAGATTAATTCCCTGTGTCTTTCCACAACTTTTTCTTTTAAAAGTACTGCAAATATTTTGAAAGGAGGTTGTGAGTCATGACTATAGCCACTCCATGTCTATTTACAGCAAACATAGTTTCCCTTACTGCAAACCTGTCTGGATGAAACTCTCTCTCTCTGTGTCCGTGTGTTTTCCGCCTCTTCTTTCTTACAGGGAAAGCTGGCAGATGGGAATCATTATGGAGAATATGGTGGCTGGTACAAAGCCTGCAAGGTGAACAGGTGAGAAAAATCAGTCACAGTTACATGCTAAAACACTTTTCTGCCATTCAAGTTGGCATTTAACGGAAGCTGCAATAGTCTTTTCAATCCTATTCGGACATACATCTGAGTGAAACGGCTTCTTGAACAAGTACAGATGTGGGCGGGGCTTGATTTTGGATTTGGGAAATTGATTGGATGTTTGTGGTTTGCTATTGGTGGATCTGATGTGAGTGACAGGTTGCTCCACCCTCATCATCAGAGAATAGATGTCGCTGCAAGAGTTATTCTGATTCAAAGGACTGTTCAAATAATGTGCAAATCTTTAATAAGTAAATAATACTGCAACACTTTATGGACTTAATTTTTTTTTTTATTATTTACCAATGTTTTTACCTTTGATGATGATTTGATGACACACATAAAGGTGATACATGTGTGTGTGTGTTCATGCACAGCCCCACAGTAAACACCACGCTGAGGAACTTGGGTGCCCTGTACCGTAAACAGGGTAAACTGGAGGCGGCCGAGACCCTTGAGGAGTGTGCCATGAGGTCCCGCAGACAGGTGCGACACCTGTAATCACTTTACTGATGAATGGTGGTAAACATGATGTCTCTGTAACGTGTGCGTGTGTGTGTGTGTGTGTCAGGGAGCGGCAGTGGACCCTCAGAGAGATGGAGAGAGGCGCAGGAGCACTGCATCGATCTCCAGCGTGAAGTACGACTGCAGCAGTGACGCCGGAGACGAGGGCAGTGTGGAGTGGAATGGGGTGAGGGAGTCATGTCTTTATCACTTAAAATTGCTTTAGGGTACAGAGCCTGTCTGGGAACATGGTGACAGAGAAAATATGACATGGAAAAACTTAGTAATATCATTTGCTTGAGAAAGCATTGCATTCCCATGAGAAACATTGCATTCACTATTGCATTATTTCGCCAAAGTATTTGCATTCTCGCAAAACTATTGTTATTTCGCCAAAGCATTTGCATTTTCACAAAACTATTGCGTTATTTCACCAAAGCATTTGCATTCTCGCAAAACTATTGCGTTATTTCGCCAAAGCATTTGCATTTTCACAAAACTATTGCGTTATTTCACCAAAGCATTTGCATTTTCACAAAACTATTGCGTTATTTCGCCAAAGCATTTGCATTTTCACAAAACTATTGCGTTATTTCACCAAAGCATTTGCATTTTCACAAAACTATTGTGTTATTTCGCCAAAGCATTTGCATTTTCACAAAACTATTGCGTTATTTCACCAAAGCATTTGCATTTTCACAAAACTATTGCGTTATTTCGCCAAAGCATTTGCATTCTTGCAAAACTATTGTGTTATTTCGCCAAAGCATTTGCATTTTCACAAAACTATTGCGATATTTCGCCAAAGCATTTGCATTCTCGCAAAACTATTGCGTTATTTCGCCAAAGCATTTGCATTCTCGCAAAACTATTGTGTTATTTCACCAAAGCATTTGCATTCTCGCAAAACTATTGCGTTATTTCGCCAAAGCATTTGCATTCTCGCAAAACTATTGTGTTATTTCGCCAAAGCATTTGCATTCTCGCAAAACTATTGCGTTATTTCGCCAAAGCATTTGCATTCTTGCAAAACTATTGAGTTATTTCGCCAAAGCATTTGCATTTTCACAAAACTATTGTGATATTTCGCCAAAGCACTTGCATTCTCGCAAAACTATTGCGTTATTTCGCCAAAGCATTTGCATTCTTGCAAAACTATTACGTTATTTCGCCAAAGCATTTGCATTCTTGCAAAACTATTGCGTTATTTCGCCAAAGCATTTGCATTTTCACAAAACTATTGTGATATTTCGCCAAAGCACTTGCATTCTCGCAAAACTATTGCGTTATTTTGCCAAAGCATTTGCATTCTTTCAAAACTATTGTGTTATTTCGCCAAAGCATTTGCATTCTCGCAAAAATATTGCGTTATTTCGCCAAAGCATTTGCATTCTTGCAAAACTATTGTGTTATTTTGCCAAAGCATTTGCATTCTCGCAAAACTATTGCGTTATTTCGCCACAGCATTTGCATTCTCGCAAAACTATTGCGATATTTCGCCAAAGCATTTGCATTCTTGCAAAACTATTGTGTTATTTTGCCAAAGCATTTGCATTTGCATTCTTGCAAAACTATTGCGTTATTTCGCCAAAGCATTTGCATTCTCACAAAACTATTGCGTTATTTCGCCAAAGCATTTGCATTCTCGCAAAACTATTGTTCCCTTGAGAAAAATAGCGTTTGTTCGCTAAAAAAATGTTCACTTGCAAAACTTTTTTTCTCTTTTTGTTCCCCTGAGAAACATTTGCGTTGACTCACAAAACTGCATTCCCCTGAGAAATATTGTGTTTCCTTGCAAAACGTTATAACGGAAAAAATAACGGAAAACTTAAACGTTCCCCTTAGAATCCCTGCATTGCAGATAATGTTTCCTGTGAACATTCGACGTGATTACCAATTCAAATGAACGACTATATGCGTCTGCAGATCGATAGGAAGATTTTCATTTTTCTATGTAGAGATTTTCGAATCTCTTTTCCATCACACTGCGAAGAAAATTAGACAACTAATAAGAGTTGCTCTTTCGGTCACGCACTTTTAATATTATAGCCGCTGCCGTCACATGAAATTACTATTTGGTGGCGCTCACAAACTGACTATTTTGCTAATCAACAGCGAACAGCAGAAGAAGAAAGCATATTTCTGCTTCATAAGCGCCACCTACTGTCAGTGAGTGGATTTGCATATTCATTCAGTCTGTTTTTACACATTGGTCAGAACAGATAAATGGCACACGAACATCAGAACTAATTTTTGTGTTGGTGTGATGAGTTTTATCTCCTAAAAGCCTGTTAACTATATTGATAATAATAACAATAAAGTTTTAATTCTTAAAATCGCTCTTAATGTAAAACATTAGCAGTTCACTGTAACGATAACAGGACAGAGAAACTAAATGTGTACAATCAATTTCAGAGCGATTTTCTCCAGCTGATGAAGGATAAAAACATTGACAACCAATCAGAATCTATCCTGCTTTGAAGAGCTCGAGCATTTAAAGCGACAGACGACACAACTGCTGCTTATACGTACATTAAACAGAGAGATTTTGTGCGCTGGTGTGGATGCTAATACAGTTATCGTTATAGTTATCTTTATAGTTATAACGGGCCTTAAGAAAGCAGAATATACAGTTTTTCACTCAAAGTAATTGACAAGTAAAGCAGTGTGAGTTTTACTCTTGCGTACATCTGATTATTAAATTCAATATTAATTATGTAGATCATTAAAAATCTATTATTTGCAACAACCCTAATAAAACACACACATTATAGCTTAATAATTGCAGTTATTGCACAATAACTCTGCCGTGTTTGCTGTGATGTGGTCAGTGCTGCACTGCAGTCTCTTCAGTGCCCCTGCTGATGTCATATCCTGTGTGACATCAGTGTATGTGATACTCTCTCCAGCAGCAGTCATTCTCTCCTTACCCACAAAACCCTAACCACTGACACTGATATTACATTACTAATGATGTGATGCTCGACCATGATCAGCACTTACTGAAAGCTATATTTAACCTACCGTACAATTAAACATCCGTGATTATAAAACAGAAGTTCAAAATGTCAAGAGAGTGCAACGGTCGTATAGTGAAAAGGTAAAATCACTGTAACAGACGTCCTCTGTGTTACTCTTTGGTTCAGTCCTGCTTAAAGTCCCCCTGTGGTGAAATCCAGCTTTTAATGTTGTTTTTAATGTGCTTTAAGTCAAACCATGTGTAAGTTCATAAGTCGACAGCATTGCTGAGTATTTTCTGCTTAAAACTGCAGTGAACCAAAGACAGTCTCAAAAACACGGTTTGAAATCGCTGGTGTTTCTGACGTCACAAATGACATTATAACGAATCAGATCAACGTGTGATCGTCAACCAGTGGATCTCTGAGCTGAGTGAGTGAGTGGAGGCAGGGCTCATTTGCATATTCATAGAACCGCGCTTACTAAATGAGGGAAGGGTGTCGAGTTACATTCAAGATATTTTAAGGCATGAAGAAATTATTTTCACTGGAATTTTTTTTTAAATATGTCATTTTGGTATCAAAGATGAGTTTTAAGGGATGTTATTGACTACAGGGGGACTTTAAAGGTGTAGTTCACTTTTGAAAAAACTTTTGCTGATAATTTACTCACCCCCATGTCATCCAAGATGTCCATGTCTTTCTTTCTTCAGTCGAAAAGAAATGAAGGTTTTTGATGAAAACATTCCAGGATTTTTCTCCATATAATGGACTTCAATGGGAACCAAACGGTTCAAGGTCCAAAAGACAGTTTCAGTGCAAACTGTTCAAAGGGCTTTAAACGATTCCAGATGATGAATAAGGGTCTTCTCAAGCGAAACGATCACTTATTTAATAAATAAATGAGAAAGTTTAATTTTTATAAGCACAAACGCTCGCCTTGCTCTGTTCTTGATGCGCGTTCGTGACTCTCCCGTTCGAACTCGTCCATCAAAATGAACAAATATTTTTTTCGAATCAATTTGTTTATTTCGTTCGTTGAATAAACCAAATGACTCGAAAAAAATTTGTTCATTTTGATAAACGAGTTCGAACAGGAGAGTCACACAGAACAGAGCAAGGCGAGCGTTTGAGCTTATAAAACTTAAACTTTTTCATTTATTTATTTTATTAAATGAGCGATCGTTTCGCTTGATAAGACCCTTATTCATCGTCTGGAATCGTTTAAAGCCCTTTGAACAGTTTGCACTGAAACTGTCTTTTGGACCTTGAACCGTTTGGTTCCCATTGAAGTCCATTATATGGAGAAAATCCTGGAATGTTTTCATCAAAAACCTTCATTTCTTTTCGACTGAAGAAAGGAAGACATGGACATCTTGGATGACATGGGGGTGAGTAAATTATCAGCAAAAGTTTTTTTTTAAAAGTGAACTACTCCTTTAACATATTCACAGCCCTTTGATGTGTCTATGTGCCTTTATGGACAGACGCACTACCTTTACTTGCTCTTCAGTGATTTCCTCCTGATATTCCTGTCTCATTTGTGCTTTTGTGTCCTGTCCCCTCTCTCTCTCTCTCTCTCTCTCTCCCTATGCATTAGGCCTAAGCTCTCATCATCTTCCTCTCTCTGCTCTTACAACAAATCAAATTGCATCTGCCTGATCTGTATGGATCCCTGTGCCTCTTCCTCTCTGCCGGATGGAGTCCCGCACAGCTTTGGCTGTTTGCTAAGACTGATGGGATATCGTCTTACGTCCCCTCCCTGCGTATTCTCGGCCTCTCTTTCGCCCTCTCTTCCACACACTCGTTTGCTCATTCCTTGTTCTCTGCATTGTCTGTTTTCATGCCTACATTGTTCACTGTATCACACTGATTTGACCTCAGTGAAGCACACCTGTCGGATCACGAATGGCCCAAATCAAACGACTATACACAATTATATTTCCATGACAGCTACGCACATTTCCCCTTAAATTCTCAATGTTGTATTGGCAAAATTATTTAATCATTTAAAAATTATAAATACTTTAAATGGTAAAGTGTTTATATACACTACTGTTCGAAGGTTTGGTAAAAAAAAATGTTTTGAAAGAAGTCTCTTCTGCTCAGCAAGGCTGCATTTATTTGATTAAAAATACAGTAATATTGTGAAATATTATTACAATTTTAATCTGTTTTCGATGTGAATATATAGTGAAGTGTAATTTATTCCTGTGATCAAAGCTGCATCATTACTCCAGTCTTCAGCGTCACATGATCCTCCAGAAATCACTCTAATATGAGGATCTGATGCTCAAGAAATATTTATGATTATTAAATACATTACTTTGTGAGATTCATCCAACAGCATTTTATGTTACTGTTTTACAATTACCTCATAATCAACGTGACACTTTAACTTACAGTGTTATGTTACTTGTCATACATTTTAAGTTATAGTTATACAAATATCCCACAGCGAGTTCATATAGTTCAGAAGTATTAATAACCATGGGTATAGTCTTTACTTTTAAACAAACTGTTAAATGAGGACCTTGCGGAAACAATGTCTATATTAAAAAAGACTTGACTTAAAAACACTATAACATGAACACTGTGTGACTGAACAAAGCTGATATATAGTTTAATACATGTCCTGTTATGTCATGTTATTTAGCAGATATGTTTGTTAATATATACCCACTCACAGAAATATTAACTTTTAGTCTACAACACATAGCCAAATTAAAGTGTGTCTAGAAATACAGCACGGCATCCTTTGTCAAAAGAATGAAAGGCGTGTTTATTTAATATATTTTCTTTGTGTTACATTTATATCTACATTCCCAGGTCGTATGGTCTGAAACTTTTGCTATAAGGCAGATTTGGTCCCGACATGATGTACTATGTTTGCATTTATACATAAAGTGTTGATTTTATTTTATTTTGAAGACAGAATTGGATAGGAAAAGTGGTTATGTTATTTTGGTTACGTGTGTAGTGGTATAAGCTCATTCATCATAGGCTTTTGCGTTGCCAAAGACAAGTGATATGGCAAGCCGCTTTAGCTTTTATTCATTTCCAGGATATGAATTCTTGATATCAACAATTACATTTTTTTTGATATCAACAACTGAATTCTTGATATCAACAATTGAATCCTTGCTATCAAGTATTCATATCCTGTAAATGAATAAAAGTTAAAATGGCTTGCCATAAAATGACATCTGCTCAATATGACGACAGTATAGGCACAAGTTTTACAATCACATTCTCCTCAGAAAATAGAGTTTTTTTTGCGATGCTAAAGCACTAGTGGCACTGAAACGACACAATTCATCTCTAAAGGTGCAACTAAAACTGAAAACGTTTTGTTTTTAAGACGTTTAAAAGCGTTTTAGGGGGGGGGGGGGCACAAACTTTTGAAAACGGGTTTCGAAGTAAACTACAAAAACGTGAATCTGTGAAACCGCGACGTCATGCGCATGCATATTACATATTCAGTCTATAGTGTTTCTTTACCAAGTGACATCGCCACCTACTGGCCTGGCATGAATAATACAGCGTTTTAGTCGTTTTCACAGATCCGTGTGATCGGGGATCGTTTTGACAACGTTGTCGTCTGTACGCGAAAAGTGCTAAGCAAAAACATTTCCGTTTAAAGTACGTTACCTAAATGTATTTCTGCATGTGTTTACCATTCCCCTCATGCGATTCGTCAGATCAGTCAGGTTTCGTGCATTAGTGTGGCTGTAGAATTCAAGGCCTCGCTGCAGATTCATGGGATGTTTCAACTGTGTGTGTGTGTGTGTGTATAAATATATATATGTGGCTCTTTCTGCGCAGTAATGTACGTCTTCATTAACCTCATATGACCCAATAAAGACTTGGAATTAGTGGCCTGGGCTCTCTCTCTCTCTCTCTGTGTGTTCATAAATGCAAATTATACGTGAATGTTTTATTGGAGCCACTCACCACACTGTGACCTAGTTTCTGTCACTGGCAGTCGTCCCACAGCTGGCGTTTGCCTGCGTTTTCTTCACCATGACAGCACTGAGTGTGGATTAAAGCAGACAGAGAAGGGTCAACTCAGGACCTGAGGGGCACATGTGCTGTTAAACATCTAAAACCTTTCCATTTTATCTTGATGTTGGATTTAGCATAGCTAATTTGTGCCGGACAACTTCAAAACGGCAATGCTTATCTCAGATTGCATGGATTTAATACTCAACTCAGTGTATTGGATTTCCCCATCGACAATAAAGCAGTCATGCTATAGTTAACCTGGTAAACCCTGGTTGCATAACCTGAGATCGGTGCAGCGGTGCGTCTGCTATCACAAACACGTTCTGCCATCTGCTGGGCTCAGAGCTACATTGCAGTGATCCAGTTCTTTTCTAATATAAGGTACTTTAACACGTTTACCACTTTACATTGGTGACTGACAAATCAGCCAACATTTGGATCAGATTATCGGATTGAGTGTCCACTCATGATGGGGGAGAAGAGAGAGAGCCAATCAGCAGTAGGGGGTGTGTCCACTCATGATGGGGGAGAAGAGAGAGAGCCAATCAGCAGTAGGGGGTGTGTCCACTCATGATGGGGGAGAAGAGAGTGAGCCAATCAGCAGTAGGGGGTGTGTCCACTCACACATGTTACTGGTGCAGAGAATATACAGTATATAGTTTGTTTAACATTTGAAAATGAAGCACCACTATCAGGAAGTGATTAAGTGATCAGGCAGACAATAAATCTTAAAACACTTGCTGTCTTCACGCACTCTTAGGCCAAGCTCCGGATAAACGTCATATAATATAAGTAGTCAAGTGGTCAAACGCAAAAAACGCAAGTGTTGGTATTTGGACAGGCCCGGTGTTTCTCAGAAATTGCTTACTGCACCTTTAAGTGCATTCAGTATTTCTTTAGCTAATGTTAGCATTGCTATTCTTCGTGTAACTGTAGGTGTTAGACGCTGCACTGCCATCTATTGACGAGGATCAACATGATAGTATCTGAGCTTTATGGAAATTACACAAATACTAGTGTGTTTTAGAGAGTGGTCAACACCATAATCAATTCCATTTCCTGTCCAAAAATAAATAAATAAGAAGCAACTTGGCATCATTATCATCAAATCTTTACACAATGTGTTTGTCATACCAATGTTTTTTTTTTTTTGTCTTTGTTGGTCTGGTAAAACACAATAATAAGTGTGTTCTGTTGGCAAAATTTCAATCTTCACATCACCAAAATGTCCATGGCGAAGAAAAAATGTCCAGATGTGGGCGGGGCTTGACTGTGTCTGTGTGGAGCTGATTGGATGGCCGTGGTTTGCTATTGGCTGATCTCATGTGATTGACAGGTTAAAGCCCCGCCCTCGTCATCAGAGAAGAGAAGAGATGCTGCAGGAAGAAGTTACTCTGATTCAAGATTAGAAAAAGAATGATGTGCGAATCGATAAATCGATAATAAACACTGCAATATTCCATGAAAAAAAACAGGGAAAAACCTCCATGCTTGTTTTCATCCAAGATATAACAGAGGTTATAAGGTGAGACTGTGTGTGTGTTCAGGATGGGTCTCTCAGGAGAAGCGGCTCTTTCGGGAAACTCAGGGAAGTCCTGCGCAGAAGCAGCGAGATGCTGGTGAAGAAGATCCAGGGAACGATGCCACCAGAACCTCGCAACTCAAAGTAAGACACACTAACACAGGGATTAATGAGTGTTACATTGCCTGATGCCTATGAAGGGTTGTGAACGCCTATGTACGTTATGTAAATGCAACAAATGAGTTATTTGTCTTCCCACACAGTATGAAGAGAGCCGCGTCCCTCGGCTACCTGAACAGTAATGGAGATGAAGACGACTCTTTCCAGGTGAGATAATTTAAGGATGTCAGGCAACATTAAATATGATCTAAGAACGGCTAGCTAACGTTCCCATTAAGTTACGAAAACTTTATTTCCGAATGTTCTCCGAATGTTCAAAACATCCAAATGTTTTTAAAAAAAATTTTTTCTCGGTTATGTGAACTTTAAAGGTGCAGTATGTATTTTTTTTGTGTGTGACTGTACTAAAGCACATAAAGACAGTGATATGTTTGTAAAGGTTTAGGAAATATGAATGAGCATACTTGAAAACACACAGCATATTGCAGCCATGGAAGCCAGTGAAAAAACTCGGTCAGGATCGCATATTCTACGCTTAAATACGGCATATTAAAGGAGTAGTTCACTTTTAAAAAAACTTTTGTTGATAATTTACCATGTCATCCAAGATGTCCATGTCATTCTTTCTTCAGTCGAAAAGAAATTAAGGTTTTTGATGAAAACATTCCAGGATTTTTCTCTATATAATGCAATTTACTGGTAACCACCAAACAGTTCAAGGTCCAAAAGATAGTAACAGTGTAAACTGTTCAAAGGGCTTTAAACGATTCCAGACGATGAATAAGGGTCTTATCAAGTGAAACGATCGCTCATTTAATAAATAAATAACAAAGTTTAAGTTTTATAAGCTCAAATGCTCGCCTTGCTCTGTTCTGTGTGACTCTCCTGTTTGAACTTGTTCATCAAAATTAACAAATCTTTTTCCAAGTCAATTCGTTCATTTTGTTCGTTGAATCAACCAAATGACTCAAAAAAAGATTTGTTCATTTTGATGAACGAGTTCGAACAGGAGAGTCACGAACGCGCATCACAGAACAGAGCAAGGCGAGCATTTGAGCTTATAAAACTTAAACTTTGTTATTTATTTTATTAAATGAGCGATCGTTTCGCTTGATAAGACCCTTATTCATCATCTGGAATCGTTTAAAGCCCTTTGAACAGTTTGTACTGAAACTGTCTTTTGGACCTTGAACCGTTTGGTTCCCATTGAAGTCCATTATATGGAGAAAATCCTGGAATGTTTTCATCAAAAACCTTCATTTCTTTTCAACTGAAGAAAGAAATACATGGACATCTTGGATGACATGGGGGTGAGTAAATTATCAGCAAAAGTTTTTAAAAGTGAACTACTCTTTTAAAACAGGGATAAATCAACTCGTCAACTTCTAGTGCAAGACCTGTCCTGTAGCCACTTGCTCCTGTTGCGAGTCTTCAATCTGGCAACCCTGTAGGCATCGAGTCTGAGGAGGAAGGATATTGCGTATTTTGACTGCAGTACCTATTTCAACCACTAGCTGTCAATATTACACACTGCACCTTTAAGGAGACTTCCACAGGATCATTCTTCGAACATTATGGGAACGTTACTTTTGAATGTTCTCTGAACGACCTGAAACAAGTAGGAACATTTAAAAAACATTACTAAAACATTTCAGAAAAAATATGCTAAGCGTAACGTTTTGAGCTAACGTTTTGAGAACATTATTAAAGACGAATGTTCTATTAACATTACTGGACGAACGTTTGTTCAGAAACGTGAGGGAATCTTATGGCTGGTTCAGATTACACAATTTTTTTGTCTGTTACGATTTCGTGATTTTGACTCCTAAAATCTTGACGTGTCGTGGACAAGACACATGTCAGACTACACGTTGCTTCCTGACCAGTCATCGCATGCCGTCTTTAACGGCGCGTATGATGTCATCGAGAAGGCGAAACTAGTAGCGAGTGACTTCCGGAAACGAACGTAAACAAACAATGGATGAAGCGGTGAGTGTTGTATTGGCTGTCCTGTGTTCAGAAAAAAGTAAAGAAAGAAAGAAAGAAAACCCGTCAATGGACACGTTCCTGGATTGCTCGAAGAGGCTGTCAATCCTTAACGAGAACTTGAGGTAAAATATTGTTTTCTTATTTATTTTTACTTTTAGTTTTAACGTTAGCACCATCGTCTCTTTTTCGTTTCGTCATTTTTGAAAGTTGTGTACGGAAAAGCTTCTGTGCTCCTATTGGTCGACCTCATACATGTGACGGAACCGCCATGGACAACCGTTTAAGAAATTAAACATGCTAGTCTTTTTGTCGTGATGTCGTGAAGCATCGCATACTCGACGTAGGTTGTCGCCCACTATGACAAACTATATGAGATGATTCGATCAAATCTTGCGTCCCGACGCCCGTTGTCGTTTACGAATCCCCATGACACCCTACGTCAAACGGATCGTGCCAAAATCGGGCTAAAATCGTGTAATCTGAACCAGGCATTAGCAGAACATTAGCTTAAGTAGCGTATTAGCAATCCATAATATTTTTTATTTTCGGTGGCTAATTTGCTTGAATTCGTACAATCTGGACCTTCATGCTTATCTTTATTGATAACAATTATTCGTTTTTATATGATTGCACAAAACACGAAACCGGCAGCTCGTAACACCGTTGAGTTCTGCATGAGATCCGTGTGTGAGATGAACGCAATGGTGTTGATCTGTTGGTTGTCTCGTCACAGGGTTCGGGGGCCGTGAGGACGCTGAGAAACAGCAGACCTCTCAGCTCAAGCACAGTGGAGCTCTACAAAAGCACAGACTCATGAAAAATACATGCGTCTTCTGGCTCTTTAGCACTAGATTTGTATATGTTGGAAGCTTTGGTTCATGTGCTGATGTTTTCAGCATTCTCTCACACACTCTTATAAATCACGCATGTTTCAGCAGCAGTCCATCCTTAAATGAAAACTCGTTATGCTCACTCTCATGTGGACCACAAATGTGTCTCTGACCACACAGCTATTTTCCATACAGTGTAAGTGAATGGAGATGAGTGCTGCCAAACTCTTAAAAAGTCCATTAAAGTAGCCTATAAATCTTGAGCACTAGAGTCATGCTGTACAGACCAAACTGCATGTCTTCCCTCTGGGTGAAGACCTTCACCAATAATCTCTCCGTCTCCAAAATCAAGTCAATATGTGTGGAACCAGACTTAATCACAATATTGCACTACTCTTATGGTGCCTTTTTGCATCGTGACAATGGCACAAATGAAATAAACTGTGCTTTGGGTCTATCGGTAGTATTCAGGTACAACATGCCGCAGAAATTGAATAATCAAATGTAAAAAATAAAACACTGCAAAGTTTGTATGAATTAAATATAGAATGAAGTTATGAAATTAAATCTCACAATTCTGACTTTTTCTCACAATTAGGAGTTTATATCTCAAAATTCAAGATTTGTTTTGGTAATTGCAAGGTTAAATCACTATTGTGACTTTTCTTTCGCGAGTTCATGTCTTGCAATTCTCACAATTGTAAGTTTATATCACATCTGACATTTTTCTAGCAATTACAAGTTTATGCCTTAGAATTCAGACTTTTTTCTCGCAATTACTAGTTTATATCTTGAAATTCAGACTTTTGAATTTGTAGACTTTTGCCTTTTGCAATTGTGAGTTTATATCACAACTCCAATTTTTTGCAATTACGAGTTTACATCTCACAATTTAGACTTTTTTCTTGCAATTGCATGTTTAAATCACAATTCTTACTTTATTCTTGGAATTGCGAGTCAGAATTGCGAGTTTATATCTTGCAATTTAAAAAAAATTCTCACAATTGTACGTTTTTATCACAAATCGGACATTTTTCTAGCAATTACATGTTTATGCCTCAGAATTCTGATTTTTCTCGCGCAATTACGTGTTTATATCTCGCAATTCAGACTTTTTTATTGCAATTGCATGTTTATATCACAATTCTTTATTCTTGGAATTACGAGTCAGAATTGTGAGTTTATATCTTGCAATTAAAAAAAAATCTCACAATTGTAAGTTTACATAACAAATCTGACATTTTTCTAGCAATTACAAGTTTATGCTTCAGAATTCTGACTTTTTTCTCGCAATTACGCGTTTATATCTCGCAATTCAGACTTTTTTCTTGCAATTGCATGTTTATATCACTATTCGGACTTTTCTCACATTTACGAGTTTACATCTCACAATTTGGAGTTTTTGCGTGTTAATATCACAATTCTTACTTTATTCTTGGAATTGCGAGTCAGAATTGTGAGTTTATATCTTGCAATTTAAAAAAATTCTCACAATTTTCATTTTTTATCACAATTACGGTTTTTATCACAATTTTATCACAATTTACGTTTTTTTCTAGCAATTACAAGTTTATGCCTCAGAATTCAGACTTTTTTTCTCGCAATTACTAGTTTACATCTTGAAATTCAGACTTTTGAATTCGTAGACTTTTGCATTTTGCAATTGTGAGTTTATATCACAATTCCAATTATTTGCAATTACGATTTTATATCTCACAATTCAGACTTTTTTCTTGCATTTGCATGTTATTCTGACTTTTCTCACATTTACGAGTTTACGTCTCACAATTTTTACTTTTTTTCTTGCAATTGTGCATTTATATCACAATTCTTACTTTAGAAAATTGTGAAATTGCGAGTTTATATCCTGCAAATTGAGACTTAACTGTGAGATATACTGTAAATTCGCAATTGTAAGAAAAAAGTCAATATAGAGTGATAAAGTCACAATACCCTTTTTTTATTCCATGGCAAAAACAACACTGTAAAAATGAATGCGCTTTATCTAATCAAAAAAATTGTGGCAACAGATTACAAGCAATATTATTAATTCAATTTAACAATAGAATTGAGTAATAATTAATCAAATTAATTCCTTTAAAGTTAACCATTTAAAATGAGTAAAACGAACAAAAAAAAAAGTACATTCAAGTCACCGTTATGGTGATTGGTGTTCTTAATTAATCTTTGACGTCTGTCTGTTATTCATATTTTTGTTAAATTTTTTGGTGTTAACTTTACTCATTTTAAATGGTTAACTTTTAAGGAATAACTTGATTAAGTATTACTCAATTCTAATTTGTTCAATTTAATTAATAATATTGTTTGTAATATGCTGCCACAATTTTATTGATTAGATATAAAGCGCATTCATTTTTACAGTGAACCTTCCATAATTGATAGGCACTTCATATTACTTTATTACTGCCAAGATACGCATGGTAATACCACTCAGCCCTCGATGAAGCTGATTGAAATGTAATTTTTGGGTAAATTAACCCTTTAAACTTTCTTAAAATCTATGACATCTGCCTAAATATTCTTTGCAAAACATGATATTTTAGGCTTTAAAAACAGAGGCTTTGTCTGTACAGATTTGAATTATGTAATGAATGATTTTAACCCTAGTGGGAAAGACCAGAAATCCACCTGGCTTATTCTCTCAGGTATTCAATATCTTTTGACACATATTTAGCAGTGAAATCTGACCTCCATGGCAAAGAAACCCCGTGGGCATTGTTCCGGCAGAGCTCCAGAGAGGTGTTGTGTTCCTCCTGACCTGATTCAGCACTCATGCACACCACTCGTTTTACTTCGAATTCATTATGTTATGAATATGTGCTAATGCAGAGGCAGAGCCTGTGTCTGTAACTGCCTGTGTAACGTATTGTACTCTGTGCAAGTTTTATAAACAACCACATTGTCATTTTTTTCCAATTTAAAACGCAAATTCTTGAATATTTATGGAATCTGTATATATGGAGTTTGAATATATGGATCTTACTTTTATTGGTTTGTTATTTGCACTATAAACCACGTCTGAGCCACTGCCAGTTTTACTGTTGAAGAGGACTTGGTTATTTCCAATCATTTCATGCTTCAGTGTCCATGTGATTCATTTGCATAAACATCTAAATATGATTGAGAGTCGCTTGCTGGGCAAAATCTAGATGCTTCGACTGTCTGATTTGGCTTGATTGAAATAAAAAATGTCAATAAAATCGTGCAATGAGCATTTCAGTTTGCTATGTCAACGCTTGTTTTGTTCAAAAACATTGAAAATATCATTGTTACATCTGAATTTTAGCAAGATAATATAAAGTTATAAGTATGTGAAACCTCTTATTTTAGCGTCTCAGATTAAAAAGAAAAGGGAGAGCATAAGAGAGAAACAGGACGGCTGAACCGGAAGTGCTCAACGCGGATTCATTCACGATGTAAAGGATAACCCATAACGCGTTTGGAAAGTGGCGAAATGTGAACCATTTGGCTTTCCATAAACCCACGGCTAGCTGTGCATGAAATGATTTTATTGCGCGACGTGGAGGCAAAAAACGCCTGACGCTAAGCGTTTAATGAATGAATATCGCATTTATTTGAATTAATTATTCAGAGAGAGAGAGATGCACAGCACCTCCACAGCGCCTCTCTCTCTCTCTCTCTCTCTCTCTCTCTCTCCCTCTCTCTCTCTTAATGTCTTCCGTTTACCACAACTGATGTGTGAGTTGATAATATGAATAAAAGATTAAATTCAATCTGTTCATCAAATAAAGGGATCTAGCCTTTTCAGAAAATTTGGACTAAACCGCTCAATGAATATGGATTAGTTTTACGATCTCTATGATCTTTAATTGCATAGCTGTGTCAACAGAGGGACAGAAATCTTGCAGATTTCATTAAAATATCTTCATTTGTGTTCTGAAGATGAACAGAAGTGTTACAGGTTTGGAGTGTACGCAAGCGTATTGCATTAACTTGAGGAAACAAAATCGACTCTGTTTTTCTGAATAAACCAGTTAATTCAGAATTACAAGATCATTTTTCTTTGAAAAAAAGTTTTTGCTCTGTTTTTCTGAATTAACAAGTTAATTATCTCAGAATTATGAGATATATTTTTCTTTAAAAATCGCTCTTGTTTTATGAATTAATGTACTCCTAATTTTTGAGATAATCAAGTCATTAATTCACAAAACAGAGCAAAAACTTTTTTCCATGAAAAATCCTCGTAATTCTGAGAAATTAACTTGTTATTCAGAAAAAGAGTCGATTTTGCTTCCTCAATTACGCTTCCGTAGGAGCGACATGATCGGGTGAGTAGCTAAAATTAATGACAGGATTTTAATTTTGGGTCTACTATCCCTTTAATTTGTTTGACGTAGGTGCCACTGGTAGAGAGCCTTTGAGCTGTTTATGATCACTACAATAGTGGTTTTCTTTTTATATAACATTGACTGCAAAATATATATTTTTTATTGATTTGGGATGTGGTCAAGGGCCTATTTTCCATTGGGCTAGTTTAGCTGGACCTGTATGGACCCTCCTGTGTGGCCTATCCCACAGAAGACCCAGTAGGCTACAGTAGGAACCATAGGTAGGAACACGTGAAAATGGAAGTAGAAAATGGTGTTTGCAAACATGAGAGCAGCGCTCGACTGGACCCTCCTCCGCGCATGCGCAGTGAGGCGCTCTGCAATCCCCAGCGCTTGAGCTGTCGTGCGCTTGTTGTGTCTGCTGGGTAAGTAGGTCATTCTTTATTATCGTTATAATACGTTGAGGTAAATATTAGACTACAACACACACCATCGGTTTGATATATCGGAAATGTTTGACGTGTGTGTGATATTTGCACCGGGCGTCATTGTTTTTAAAAATGTTTACATTTCCTTACATTTCCGCCTACTGGGCAAGCTGGGTGCTAAATTAATCAACAAAGTGCATTCAACAATTGTACGGGGAGGGTCGCGTTTTTCCCAGTTTGTCGTCCATCTGTTGCACATCTCAGTGTCATTTACCCGACAGTCGTCTCACACTTGTGTTTTTATGCATGTGAATGAAACCTCAGCCGTCTTTGTTTATTTCGTATTTGTGCTTTCTGTTTCAACGATTGATTGCTGGTCGTTTAAACTCTGATATTGCTAATGTTTTTATTAAAACATGATTTCTAAACCACCAACATGATATGCTAGTGACAATGGCAATTTTATTTATAGCACTATTTACTAAAACCAGAGTTGACCAATGTGCTTTACAACAAAATAACTAAAAAAAACACAAGGATAAAATACAAAGCATAACATAACATAACATAACATAACATACCGCCTCAGCGATGATAGTTTAACAGTAATGGAAAGAGAAAAGCGTATTATTATATGTATGGGCCTATGGATGTATGGATGTAGGCCTATATGTGTGTGTGTGTGTGTGTGTATACATCAAGAGCAAGTCAACACTGGCAGATTGATGATTTAATATTGAAACCAATATCCCTCCCTTCATATGAGAGAATCTGAGTTTGTTTTCCGTCTTCAGAGCTTCCCGATTCGCAGTCGCTCGCTGTGCCATTTTGGACAATGGCTCTGATCTCTATTGAGGATCTTGACGGACTTGATGATGAGCAGGTGGATGATGACATCACAGACAGCTCTGAACCAATGGATGACGGGGAGCAGGACCGAATGTACGCCCACTGGCAGGCCGTAGGAAGGACACATCACGTGTCTGTTCCCAGAGGTACGACACGCTGTCCCACAGCCCACTGACCAGTTTCCCAGTGTGACATCATCAGAGAATCTAATCTGGTTTTTGTATAGAGATGAGAGGACCCATTGAGGAGATGACGAGGAGGAACCAGAGCTCAGAACGAGAGCAAGTGCCTTTCGTCAGCATCTCCAGACACGAGAAGGTGGGATCCTCATGGACAAAACATGGGAAAGTTGCAACATTTCCACTTTGAAAGGAATCAGAGATGATCTGTAGAATATCTGAACACAAATCATGACAAGAATAATGACATTAAAGGCCTGTTTACACCAAGGACGATTACTATAATGATTATAATAAAGATATAGTTCTGAAAATCTCACCACAAGGCACAGAGAAACAATTTTTTTCCAGATGATGAACGATAAAAACATTGACAGCCGATCAGAATTCACCCTGCTGTAATGAGCTCGAGCATTTAAAGCTGCAGACGACACAACTGTTCAAATAAACAGATCAATTTCATGCGCTGATATAGTTATCATTATTAGTGTGAACGGGCTTAAAGGAGTAGTTCCATGTCTTTCTTTCTTCAGTCGAAAAGAAATGAAGGTTTTTGATGAAAACATTCCAGGATTTTCTCCATATAATGGACTTCAATGGGAACCAAACGGTTCAAGGTCCAAAAGACAGTTTCAGTGCAAACTGTTTAAAGGGCTTTAAACGACTCCAGACGATGAATAAGGGTCTTATCAAGCGAAACGATCGCTCATTTAATAAATAAATCACAAAGTTTAAGTTTTATAAGCTCAAATGCTCGCCTTGCTCTGCTCTGTGACGCGCGTTCGTGACTCTCCTGTTCGAATCTTTTTTCGTGTCATTTGGTTCATTCAACAAACGAAACGAACGAATTGACTCGGAAAAAGATTTGTTCATTTTGATTTAATTTCGCTTGATAAGACCCTTATTTATTATCTGGAATCGTTTAAAGCCCTTTGAACAGTTTGCACTGAAACTCTCATTTGGACATTGAACCGTTTGGTTCCCATTGAAGTCCATTATATGGAGAAAATCCTGGAATGTTTTCATCAAAAACCTTAATTTCTTTTCGACTGAAGAAAGAAAGACATGGACATCTTGGATGACATGGGGGTGAGTAAATTATCAGCAAAAGTTTGTTCAAAAGTGAACAACTCCTTCAAGCCTCGTCTAAGATCGGACGATATCTTGGCTCATTTTGGCTGGATCGTTTGAATCAGTGAGTTGTTGACTTAAAAACAACTTGCAGTACAAAAGTTTGGGGATAGTATGATTTTTTTTTTGTTAACACTTTACATAAAGGTTTAATTTGTTAGCATTAATTAACTATATTAGTTCATTTATTAATCTTAGTTAATGTTAATTTTTAACAAAGCTTAATTTCAACATTTACAAAACTCAATTTTGTAAATAATTAAAAAAAAAAAAAAAATCAACACCCAACATTTCAATGTTGAAATTAAGTTTAACAAAACTTAATTTCAGCATTTACTAATAGATGATTAAAATCAACAGTTTTCAACACTATTAATAATCATATTTCTTGATCATGAAATCCTCATATTAGAGTGATTTCTGAAGGATCATGTGACTCTGAAGACTTTGATACAGCTTTGATCACTTTTGAATTACAATTTTACATAAATATATATTAAAATAGCTTTTTTAATGATGTATTTAAAATAATGACGCATATCTGCTGACGGTGGTTGTGTTTCAGCTCGGCGAGGTGCTGTACGAGGAGAGAGTGTATCCTGCCGGGAAATGGGCATGTGTCAGTAAAGCTGATATGATGTATGAGCAGAGCATCTCCAATGCATTCATGCAGCTCATGCGCTTCATCTGCAAGGAGAATTCAACAGGTGAACACACACACACACAGAGAAGGGTACAGCCAGAAAGTGCAGAAAATGAACACTTATGGGAATGTTTGGATAAACCTGTAATACTTGAAACTATTCTTTGAGTTGGTTCACTGTAGTAATTGTGTGATCACTCCTCTACAAAGGGCAGATGCAGTTGAATTCTTTTGTCAAAATAATCTCACTATTATAGTTTAGTCCAAACATGCAGTACTAGGGTGGTCTCTGTGTCCAGGGCGGTACCTCGGCATGTCGGTGCCTGTTGTGAATGAGATCACACTGGTGGATGATGGCAGCACCTTTATGAAGGAAGTGCTGACGGCCTATTATCTCCCCGCTGAGTTCCAGGCCAGACCGCCTCAACCAACGGACCCGGACATCAGCATCGTCCACCGCGACTCCATCCGAGTCATATCCAGGTATTTCATTCAACATTCAACTACATCACCGATCTGCTGCGTCGACACCATTATATGAGAACTGAGCTGGGGGATGAGAGCGGCTATATATATATATGTATATATATTATGGTAAAAAAGTGAAAAAAAATGTATGGTAAACAAGTTATTAATTTAGTTCATTTATATACATATATATATTAATTTAGTTCATTTATATATATATATATATATGTATATATATAAATGAACTAAATAATGAACTAAATTAATAACTTTTTTACCATACATCATACCTACCTAACCATACCTAACTTTACTTCACTATATTACTATTAAATCCTAATCTAGTCATGACAAGCTATATATATCGTTGGAAAGGTCTAAGACTGCTAAATCGATATTTGACTGCTATTTTTTGCTAAAAATTATGTAAGAAGAGTAACCAATAATTTTTTGACAAGAGTTCGCCTCAAAAAAATCTGCATCATAACAGGACCTTTGTCACAAAAAGTCGACGCACACACCTTTAATAATCGAAACTTTGGGTTTTCATGCCAAAAGTTCATAATAAAACATATAACCTAGTATTTTTCAATAAAAAATTATAATATAATATTATCCTCTAAAAATTATAATATATATTATCCTCTAAAATATAATATCTTTTTTATCGCCTTTTTTATTATATCACATATTTTAGGTATCATTTGAAAGCTTACAAACTCAGACTTCATCCTGTGAAAACCGTTTTATAATTGAACGTTGCGTTACCATAGAAGCGGTACTCTAAATTTTTTATATCAGGCTCCTCCCCTTTGGGCATCATTATATTTCATAATTTATGTTCAACCTTTTCTAATCTCAACAAAAACCATATTGTCAGAAAGGTCTGTGTCTCAAGGTCCCAAATTTGATATTGGACAGAAATGTATTAATTTGTTGAGACCGAATGCATACAACTAAATTCAATTGCACCTGGTGGCTATTTTGGTATTACGCCTGAACAATTTTTGTGATATCAACTTCAAATTTGGAGCAGATTTATGGCTTCGAATTTATAATAATTTTAGAGTAAAAATATTTAGTAAAATATATATTTTTATATAAAATAAAAAATATATAGTACAGTATTTTGATTCACTGTACATTTAAACGACCATAACTTTTTCATACTTTCCTTTTTGAAGTGTTTTCACTTCAGCAATAATCTACTGAGTGTTATCTTTAAAACAAGACCAAAGTTGGGTATATATATTCCAAAGCATTCTTGAACCATTTAAGTTTGAAAAGTGCATTTCCCCATTCTCAAAAAGGGGTGTGTGACAGCTAAAGGGTTAAGCTGGACCGTGATGCGATTTTCTTCCAGAAACATACTCTAGCTGAAAGTTACTTCTGTCGCAGGGTGTTTACGGGACCACCACCGAGGAGACCATCTCTCGTCAGATCGCCGTGCTCTGGGAGCTCCTGGGCCGGTCCGAGGACGTCCTCAGAACCGCTACATGGTGGCCACGTACGAGAACCCCGGCGTGCCCCAGCGCAGGAACGAGATCTGGTTCATCCGCCGCGGCCCGTGAACATCTCGAAATCAAGCCATAATCAAACCTTATTCTTTTGTGTGTTGTGAGTGTGATGCAGGAAGACACTTGTTTTTAATCGATATTGCAGATCAATACACGTATAGCAGTGCACCGAGGCTCCGCGCGTGGATTGCTGAGCAAAATCAGCGGAGGAAACTTAAAACTTGAATAACACAGAAACATTTGTGCTACCTGGGGTTGAAGACGGTTCATTACGCTTCCTCTCGTTTATGCTTGATTGGTAAAGTTTTACACTACTTGAATTTACTTTCATTTTGTTTCATCACAGAAAATAA